CTACTAATTGACACCATAAACTTACAAGATGAAAGAATGCAGGTTCAAGGCATTTCTACACTGGCTTTACTTTCAGACCTAAACCGCCTCCATCTTTTATATGCAGTCTTTTGTCAAAACAACCATGTCTTGTAACTTTGGCATTGTTTTGTCTTTGTGCCAGTTGACTGCATGTGAAGAAAAGCTGAAAATGTCTCTGGTTTTGTCCTGACATCTGAATTCTGTTAGACGTTCTGACCGTACAGTTTTGTTTTGGGTTTGTTTCCTTTGGTTAGGATTACCATAGGAAACAAAGCCATTACATTACAGTATCAATCCCACTCATCATAAAACAAACCACAGTTTGCTTCCAGAGTCAGTTCGTCACTGGACACCAAATGTCATTATTCTCCCATATCCAACCTAATCGACCTAAAGGAGGGAACCGCTGGGACGTCAGATAACCCGTGTAAAATGTGCAGAGTATGAATGCTCAAAAAAAACATTCAAATTTTCAATTTCATTTCTTTTTCTCGTGACTTTTTTTCCTTTTCATTTTTGATAACTGGCTACTGTTCATTTGTTAAATGTTCCTGGCAGCATAGACGAGGATAGATTTTTTTTTTTTAAGTGTGTTAAGAGTCACCATGGTAACAAACATTCAATAAATCACAAATCGGATTGTTTATGGATTTGAGACCCTGTATGTAACCTTGTATTACTGTGAAGTAAATGCTTGTATGTGAGTGGCACTGTATGTGAAATACTTAATAAAGAACTATGTCTCATAGGATACAATCGCACTCTTCAAGTTATTTATGTTCCATCTGAGCGTTGGCTTTCAGTTGTGGAAGAAACATTTGCAGACACACCGAGAATATACAGGCATGAACTGGCTGGTCAAACATACAAACACTGACAGGCAAAGTTAAAGAAATCGTTAAACTGACTACACTTTGTTGCACACTAAGCCACACCCCCATGCAAAACTGTTCACGAATGATTCCTAAATACAAAGAGCCCAAAGTGATGCCCCAGCTTCTAAATTTGCCACGTCATAATCTAACCAAGCATTCAAAGGATACAAAAGCCCCATCCCAAACTAGCACTAACCAAAGAAATTCCATGTCCATGCCCATACAGTCAGGTTTTTTTGGATTTGCACATTGTTAGGAATGTGATTTTAATCATATTTCAAGTGAGATCATATGCCAAGTACGTACTGAATGTTTTGCTCAATGTTTTGCAAATTAAACTTATCCTTTTTCTCTTATAGAGTTTTAGTCTTATTGATGGTACATGATAAGAAACACAGACTGATTCATTTTTAAATGGTGACTTTTTAAAAAAAATTCTGTGAATACCCAGAACACTGATGGGAAGTTGTAGCAGAATTGTAGATCTACTGTATCGCTGTGTATTTGCGCTAAGAATAAAAATATCATTGAACCTTCCTGATGTTGACCTTTTTGCAGCATCTCTGTTGATATTTTCCACTATCTCTAAAAGAGACAGAGGTCTATGCTGTGGGGCTGAGCTAGTTTAGGTTACCTTGGTAATCAAGGACAAGGTTGACTCCCTCATGCAAGATTGTCACAACAGAGCAGTAAGATAAGCATGCATGATTTATAGACACTCACCCAAATCTATCAAAAGAAAGTGCATTGCTAAAAAACAAACAAAGAAAACTGAAGAGCTGTTGAACTAGAGAACTCATCAATTAATGTCTTTTTAGGAGAAATGTTAAAAGGAGCCTGAACAGATGGAGGAGGGCCATATTGGCCTCAACTGGCAGAAGTCACTGACAGGGTAGATGAGAAGAGCTATGACAGGAAGCACCAGGTTCGGATGAGATTTGCCCTGAGATGCTAAAGCCTCTAGACATTATGGGAATGTTTCAGTTGACACACCTCTTTAATGTTAGGTTGTAATCTGGCATTGTGCCTGTGGAGAGGCAGACTGGAGTGGTGATTGCAATTTTCAAAAAGGAGATCCTGAGTGAGTGCTCCAGTTATCGTACTGCTCAGGCTCCCGGCAAAATTTCTTTTAGGGTGCTGGAACGGAGGCCCCAGCTAATGGTGGGACCTCAGATTTAGGACAAGCAATGCAGATTCCAGCCTGGTTCTAAAACAGTTGCCCAGATCTTCACCCTTGCAGAACTTCT